CTCTCTGATACTTTTATGCACAGAAGTATGGTAAGAGCACAAATCTTTCATTAAAAGCAAGTAAAAAAAAGAGGATCTCTTTCTCGAACAGTGTTTTTGCCGTCTGTGCTTTCTTAGAAAAGGAACCAATGGCAAGATTACAGTGAATGGATACTCTGGCTCTAAAATTTTCTATTATCCACTTATGTTTTCCTTGCAGTGGGATTTAAGAATGCTTCTTCATGGAGACAAGTAATATGTCATCATTTTGTTGAGCTAACAGGCCTGACAGTCTTGTCTCTTTGAGTTAAGGACACTACCGCTCCGTTTCTCATATTGTTGGGAAAATCAAGGTGGAAAAGGCTGGCAGGAAAAAAAAAAAAAGGAGTTAGCCAACTGGCAGTAAGTTCTTTAACAATTCTGCTACCTTTTTTTTTTTAAAACCACCAATTAATTTATTTTGCCACAAAATTGTCTCATTATCAAAAACAACCTAAATTAAGATCTTTCTTACTTTCACTGTATTGTATAATAACTTATTTGAATGCAGGCCTTTTGTATTTTAACAAACATCATCTTCTCTATTCACCATTTCTCTTGTCTTTTTGATCTTTTTTCTACTTATCATGTTCTTTATTTGAAACAGATTTTTAACAGATAATCTTGATCGTTACAACAATATCTTGCTTGCATTTTATTCAAATAATTCTTAAAAACAGCTTAAAAAGCCGTTTGGAATAACATCAAGCTTGCCATCAATCAAATGAAAAAATTCCGCTGGCGGTTGTATAAACATCAGATCAACTCTGATGTCTTCAAGGATTTCAGAGTGAACCATAAAAAACTCCATTAACTTCTGACAAAGAATGCAAATTAATCACAACATGGGGTGAAATGAAATTAAAGGCTCTTTTCTAATCAATGACAAGGCAGGATGAAATATTTGTTACTCTCTCGCTCTGCACTCAGGCTGCCTAGATATTTGCACTTTCCCTCCAAAGACCCAAATGGAAGGTGTGAGCACAGATTCACCCACAGTTGCTGTTTAGCCCTCCCCACCCCCAGAGCTATCTGCTTACAAGTCGCTGAGATCCACAAAACACACTAATCATCTGAATCTCAGGTGCATCCAATTTGTTATTCACACTCTCCCATGCCAGTGAAAAGCCTGGCGCAGACAGATGCACCAGGAACCTTAAATGACAGTTTTGGCCTCCGGAAGTGCGATCACTACAGCAAAATCTAGTACAGCCTCCAGGTGAAATGTCTGGAGCTCCATATGGAGCAGGGAAAATTAACAACAAGATGAAAATCGCTGCAGCAGCAGGGAGTCTGAATTTTTTGAAAAAAAAAAATGAAATTTAAAGATGAAGAAAGAGAAGTAATAAATTAATGGGGTGTGAAAACATTCAAAGCTTTACAATACCAGGGGCACTATTTGCTCAGAATTTTTTTTGGAGGAAGGAAGAGGGCAGACATGACGGGGAGGAACGGCCTTCTTTTCTTTTCCTTTTTTTAAACTTCAGGTCATTCTGAAATAATTTATTAACTAAGGTCTGGAACTGTAGCCAAAGGAAGGAAAACATTTTTATACATAAAAAAGTACTTTAAATAATTTGTTGTAATTTACACTTTTCAGTAGTTTATTACATCCCTCGCTATTGAGTGTTGCCTGTTTCTTTAGAATGTTTCTCTAATGAATGTATCATCCTTTTAATATACAGCATCACCATAAAGTGGTGTGAATAGAAGCTGAGAATATTTAGCAGGCGATTCTTTTCGTTTCTCCTAAATTCCATTATCATTAAACAACCAATTGCCCTCTATCATTTTTTTATTTAATCTACTGAATTTGGCTCTCCATGATTAACTCTACGTCTCTTAGTTTCTTCAGACTCTGCAAATCTTCAGTTTCAACTTTAAATTTAATAATAAAGAGAAAATGCTGTGAAATTCCATGGCCTCTTAGTTTTCTACAGTTCCTTCTACACAGACACATAAATTGCCCCTCTAATCACATTAAATTACTGTTAAACTTTTAAAAGAAATCTAAAACTTAGTTACCCCGAGCCATCTTCAGTTATCTAAAATGCTGACACTATACACTAAGTACTGCATTTGATAGAAGGGATTTTGATTTCATTTTTAAATGTTTACATATGAAGGGATTTTGATTCTAAAGAGTCTGTTTTCCCTCTCTGTGTGTGCGCAATTCCCATTAGTGTTAATAGAGTTATGCAAACACATCAGGGGAAGAATATACCCTTAAGTGTTTATGTTTATATCGAGAGAAAATCCTATGAGCGTCATAGTCTACTTCTTCCAAAAGGAATTTTACATTACAGCGAACAAGTAACAGCGCATCACAATGTGTCTGGGAAAAACATTAAGCAATTCAGAAAGTTACTGGATTTTCACTAACTAGCTTGCTTGTATGAAGTTTTTGTAATAGCAGCGTCTGCTCTAGTTAGCAATGTATTTCATGGGTTTTTTTGGATAAAATTACACCTTTGAAAGAGAACTACAAACACAAACCATAATATATACTACTTATTCAGAACACAATCCTCTGAACACTTATGCACATGGATGATTTTACTGACACGAGTAGTTGCTTAAGCGTGAGCAAGATAAAGCCCTAAATGGAAACATACATGACTAAATAATGTTCACGTGACAACTAAGCAAATCTTTGTATCTGAATGCTCGTAAAGCACCCTGAAAGTGGAAACTGCTAAATACTATCATTAAAACATTCCAACAGAGGCATGAAAATCCATCCTTTACTCTTGCTGGCATAATGGTAAGAGATAAGAGGGAAAGTTAACCTCCTTTCTGAATTTCTTGACTATAGTCAGTTTCCATATAATCATAAAACTTGCATTAGATGGATAAAAATAAGCTAATTTATTTGGGTTTTTGTTTTCTGTTTTAAATAGGAGGAGAAGAGTAACAATTCATCCAGGTATAATTGTAAAAATACATTAATTTGTCCGAGAACAGGGATGATTCTGTATACATATTTAAGTAGCAGCTCCAGGCTATTTAGGGACAAATTCTGCAAACACTTATGCATGTAAAGCCTCACTGAACTGAGTAGGACTTATTCAAGTAAGTGTTTGTAGGATCGGGCCCTTATAGTGATCTAAATATATATATATATACACACACACACACACACACACACACACGGGCAGTTAAAAAAAATATTCAGTCACCAGACCACAATGCATCTTTGGGGCTATTATGATCAACCATGAAAGTACATATTTAAGATGCATACTATTTATATTAAAAATACTTATGGAAAATAGTTGCTTTTACTTACAGCCCATATTTCAAAGTCTCACCGTCTCAGATATTTTATATGTTAAAAAACTATCATTTTTAAAAAATGCCATTTTTAATTAGAAGAGCAAAAAGCATCTTAAATTGCTAATCATGTGTTTTGCTCCTAATATGAAAAATATATTGACATTGCTTTTGAAAATATATAATCAGCAGACATAATAAAATTTCAATGCATACACAGACTAAAAAAAACCCCAATGCTTCCATGATGAAAGTTGCAACCCAGAGTCAATTTTTTATGTAGTTATGTACCACTATCTACAATAGATACATTGATACTTTCTTAACTAACATCATGTGACTATTACAGAGACAACGTGGGTCAGGTAATATCTTTTACTGGACTACAGTGATGTGCAAAGTATCTTTTTTAGAGTTACATAGTCACAAGTACCTCTCTTTTGGATTTTCTCTCAGAGGAGAGTGTTAGTTGAAAAATATAGATAAAAACTCTAAGCTATGTTCTGCTAAAACAATAAAACTATTTCTTTCAATCAGCAAAGCCTTTTATCCACAGCAGGTACAAAAGGGAAAGACTGGTATATTTCTACATATGCAGAATCTTTAGAAGTCCATGAAAGTGTCAGGAGAATTTGCTTAAAACAGTTTACAAATATAGGAAAAAGAGAATGAGTCCTATCCTATTATTCAATAACCATGTTCATGAGGCATCTGCAGAATCTAACCATGCATAAATTAGTATGTGTAATACAACAGTTATTTGCATAACAATAGCAAGTTAATAGATGCTTAAAGAGCATAAACCAACACCACCTTTAAATCAGACATGCCTCCAGGCACTCCAGTCTGTATAGACCAAAATACTTGGAAAACAGTGGTCATAAAACACATGAAACCATAAAAAAAAAAAAAAAAATTCAAATAATTCATTGTATCCCCTGAACTTTTTCACTTTTTTTCCCCAGAAAGAGGAATAATTTTAAGAATGACACCACAGCTTTTTACCTTGGATTTTGTCATCCATCTCGCAAAAATATTTTAGAGTTCAGAACTCTATCTGAATTGGCCATTATTTTTGGAGACTCATGATTTTTAGGAATAACCATATAGGTAAAAGCCAAATTCTCCATCGATGGCATTTTTCAAGAACACTCAGTACGGGGCCTTATTCTGCCCTCACTGAAGTTAATGGGAGTTTTACCAGGGACTTCAATGGGAGCAGAATCAGGCCAATGCTGAGTGTGAAAATTGCACCTGGTATGTAAAATATTGGCATTTTATTAGACCCTAGTAAGTGAGAACATTAGGAAAAAACAAACCAAACCTGTCATCCCACACCATATATTTCATTCCTGAGGGTCTTCAACTATTTTGCCAAAATTCATAATCTGAATTAAAAATGAAAAGAAAGAGGAGCTACTTCTATCTTATTATCAGAGTAATTAAAAAATCCTTTAATCGCACAATAAAACAATCACCATCCTCATCATAATCTCTTCCATCCTCCCAAGGGAAAAAAGAAATACCGTTTGGAAAAAAAAAAAAAATCAACAGAGATATACTTCTAAATGACTCCTTAAAGATATCACTTTTCAATTTAACAGGACAGATTTATTTGTATGTGGCTCAAATGTTCACAGTTGCTCTCTGCACCTTCATACATAGGAATGAATGTCACAGTGGCAAGCAGCGGTAATGAACAATCTTACCTGAGGATATGGAAACCTCCCAAGAGCAAGCTGGGAAAGAAAATAATATTTGTCTAGTTATATAGATTTGCATGGAGGGCATATTTTCTTAAAGAGAGAAAAGTACTTATCTCTCACTATTGTACAAATTGCAAAAAATATATGTGAGCAAAAATAATCCTGAGAACACAGTAAGAGCTGTATTTAGAATGGAGTCATTCACAACGATTATGCTTTGTTTACAAACAAAATTAAGGCTTTGTTATAAAGTATGCACACTTTTCATTTTGACTTAGTCAACAAAAACATGCCTATCCCACCAGGTAGCATGTGCCATGTCCCAGTTTTCTAAGAGCTCCTTAAATGAAACCATCGAGTCTCAGTAGTGAGGAAAATGACACTGAACTTTACTAATTATATCTGCAATGCATGGGTATTCGCACAGCTTTCACTCAACTCCCTAACTCCTGGTTTGGTCACACTGGGCTCAGGGTAAAATGTGGGTTGGATCAGAGGTCAATCTCCTCCTTGGTTGTTTCAAAGTCTTCGGCCAGGAACTTTGGGGGAAGGGAGAGAACATGGAATCCACAACATATCACACTGTATTTTCTTTCATTATATTTTAGGTTATATACAAAATAGAGTTGACATATTGCCAAAAATTGTTTTTAAATGGTAATTAACACATTATTACAGCACCTGCTAATGCTGGTACACGGTAAGATCTATTATTTCCAAGATAGATTCCTATTTTGTCCCAGGTTGGTATCTCAGCCTTACAGTACTTTTGCTAAACCACATTTTTTCAAAAAGTCATTTTGGCCATTTTTAAGCGATCAGACAAGATGGGATCTGTAATAACCAGCACCTGTTCTTCTTGTGCCACTGACTTACCAGATAACCATGGGCAAGACACTAGAGCTTTTTAGTTCACACATAAAGGCCAAAACCAGCAGTCCATTGCCTCTACTCAGGCAAATACCTCATGAGGGGACAACACGAACTGTACCTCAGCACATATCACAGGGTATGACACAAAACAGGTATAATACAAGCATCGTTGTGAGGCTTAATTAGGTCTGTAAAACTTGAGATGCTCAGAGGAAAAGCTACTATAGAAGCACTATTACCAATTCTGAGCAGACAAGGTCTTGAGGCATTCGTGTAAAAGGCATATGTGACAGACCACAAAAAAGGAAAGTGAGCTTTTTTGTGATGGAGAGAGAAAGAGAGACTTTGCTGCATTTAGTTATGATTGGTAATGAATTTCTACAGACATGCAAAGAAAATGAGTAAGGCCCTACCAAGTTCACGGCCATGAAAAATGCATCACGGACCGTGAAATCTGGTCTTGTGTGTGCTTTTACCCTATATTATACAGATTTCATGGAGGAAACCAGCGTTTCTCAAATTGGGGGTCCTGACCCAAAAGGGAATTGCAGGGGGGGTCACGGTATTGCCACCCTGACTTCTGCGCTGCCTTCAGAGCTGGGCGGCCGGAGAGCAGTGGCTGTTGGCCAAGCACCCACTCTGCAGGCAGCAGCATAGAAGTACGGTTGGCAATACCATACCATGCCATCCTTACTTCTGTGCTGCTGCTGGTAGCAGCTCTGCCTTCAGAGCTGAGATCCCAGCCAACAGCTGCCGCTCTCCAGCTGCCCAGCTCTGAAGGCAGCGCCGCCGCCAGCAGCAGCGCAGAAGTAAGGGTAGCAGTATCACAACCTTCCCAACAACCTTGCATCCCCCCACCCCTACAACTCCTTTTTGAGTCAGGACCCCTATAAGTAGAACACTGTGAAATTTCAGATGTAAATAGCTGAAATCATGACATTTTTAAAATCCTATGACCGTGAAATTGACCAAAATGGACCGTGAATTTGGTAGGGCCCTTATAATGAGCTATAAAAGGGCTACTAAGTATGTACAGTAACATTTTTGTACATGTATTTATTATGTGTGTTATGAGAGTTGCACATGATAATCTCCATGCATCATCTGAATATTCACCTCAATCTCTTCTAAAACCATACCAGTGGGAGTCTGCATAATGATTGAGGAGGAGCTGTTATAGTTCATAATATCAAAAAGTGTTGTTTAAGGGTCCCTACTACACTGACATGACAAGACATGGGTGCTCAGAAAAACAGTGGGCTATTGTGTCATTCATCATTCTCAGACTTGCATTCAGATTTTGTTTTAAATCCCAAAGGAAATCACCTCTCCAAAAATTAATGCTAAGGCCTTGATTTAAAAATCACAAAAGTGAGGAAATGAAACATTAAGATCTCCACTGAGCCCTTAATTCACCATAGGAAAAGGGATTGTAGCAACCATAATACGCATCATTCCACCCTCGCCTCACTAAAATCCCTCCTACAAACTCACTTCTGCCAGGTAGCCCCCAACACTAACCCCCACTATAAGCTGTGCTAACTTCACACCAGAGGTGCAATAAGGCAAATCAGAACCCTCCACCCTGTCCTCACCACCCTCTAAAGCAGGGGTCGGCAACGTTCGGCACGCGGCTCGCCAGGGTAAGCACCCTGGCGGGCCGGGCCAGTTTTATTTACCTGCTGACGCGGCAGGTTCGGCCGATCGCGGCCCCCACTGGCCGCGGTTCGCCGTCCCGGGCCAATGGGGGCGGCGAGAAGCCGTGGCCAGCAGGTCACTGCTGGCCACGGCTTCTCGCCGCCCCCATTGGCCCGGGACGGCGAACCGCGGCCAGTGGGGGCCGCGATCGGCCGAACCTGCCGCGTCAGCAGGTAAATAAAACTGGCCCGGCCCGCCAGGGTGCTTACCCTGGCGAGCCGCGTGCCGAACGTTGCCGACCCCTGCTCTAAAGAGAGGAAATCTAAGCTAATGTCTTCCTCTGGGTCTCTTCCTGTGTCTGTCTTTCTGTCAATTCTTTGGGGCCAGAAACTGTCCTTAATTTTTATTTCTGGACGAAGCACTGAGTTCAATGCTGCTGCTTAACAAAATACACTCATCATCAACAGCTCCAACAAGCATAGGAAAATAAATGAGGTGAAGGCTGGAGTCTGTGTCTCTTTATGTCATTTCTGTATCCCTCATAGCCTTGAGCCTTCTTGGCTGGTCAAACCTGGTGAGGCAGGGCCCACTGTGAAGAACACAAGTACCTTCTCCCCTTTAGAGCTGAGTGTATCACTCAGTGACATGATTAACTGCTGCTGGCCTAAGGACTGTGTATTACTGTTAGGCTAGCATAGAAACCTGCAAGTTTTAGGCACAATGGAGTGAGTGTAAGAGAAAGGAATCCTAAATGTTCTTACTTTTGTGGGTTTAATTATTACCATTACATATTATATTAACACAAACACACACAACTATATCATCTCATGACACAGCAGGAGGAAACATACAGGTATACACACAGGACTGAGTTCTGTAGTCCTTACTTGGTACTTACATGGGCAAAACCCTCACTGACTTCAATCCCGACTCCAAACTTTTCATTCGAGTCCCAACTGCCAATCCCTTTCCCTAATCATTAACTCTAACGGGAGTTTTACCTACACGAGGACTGCGGGATCCGTCCCTAAACGTAGCAGAATAATCATGGAACTAATTTTCTGTCAAACCAATAAAAAGAGGGAAAGGAGCTTTGAAAAGACAGGAGTACAGAAGAATCAGTTCTTCAGAGGCTATAACCAATTAACAAAACAAAACAAAAACCCCTAAACAACAAAGCAGAATGTGACAAGTCTGCACCTCCTAGAACCATTATTGTGTTGATCTAGTCAGAGGGCTTTCCCTCCCCCCAGATTGTCAAGGTATTATAAATTAAGAAACTTACCAAAGAGTATGTAATCTTCCCCGAAATAGCCTGCAGATATGTCACTGTACTAAATGTGTTTCAGATTTAATGAAGCTTTAATGTCCTTTTTAATTTTGCCTGTTTCTATATCACCAGGGGTCGAGCAAGGCAATCAGCACTCAAGAGGGTGGTTTGGTTTAAAACTAGGAAAAACTCATTTGCTTATGAGTTGCACTGTATTTTCTTAATTAAATTTACTGAGTAAAATGGTTTAAGTTCAGCCAACCAATGACCTCTGGATGTAGATTTAGATTTATAAACAGGGTAACAGTTAAAGTAAAGGGAAAAAACAACCAAAAAAAACAAACAAATTAGAGCTATACCAATAGGAGTTTTGTACCCTTTATCATCTTTACTAAAGAAGTCATTTAAACATAAGCGGCATAAGCCCAATGAAAAATGCAAAAGATACCAAGTACGGCAGCAGAGGTAATCTATCAAAAAATCTCTCCCATCCTCTACTTTCACATGAGGGAATTCAGGAAGGGTTTCATTTCTTTCTTTTTTTTTTTTTTTTTTAAATCCTACTGGGTTTAAAACAAAACATTTTAAATCTGAACACTTAGGGTCAGGAAAGTGCTGAGTATTCTACATGGGCTTTGAAATTATGGAGAGAGAGAGAGGAATGCTCAAACTCGAAGGGCCTGATTCTCATTTGGCAGTATAAAGGTACTTTAAAAAGTCAGTGTAAATTATATTGCCAGAGTGGTGCAAAAGGGCTTTAGTATAAATGAGAATTAGACCCTGAAAGGATCTACCAGCCAGGAATTTGTTTTTAAACAACGCTATTCTACTGTTGTACTGTGAAACAACCACGTTTCAGTCCCACTGCTTAATGATCTTCCACTACCCTCATGCTGCTCACAAGTGTTAGAAAGCATCACACTTTACTTACATATAAAATTAGCATCCTAGAAAAATGTAAAATTTTAATCTTGCACTGTTATTAACCAAGGTTCTGGCCTTACAAACTGACTAGTACTCCTGTGAGTAGTTCTTACATGAGTACTCCCATTGAGTTCTCAGAACTCCTCGTGGGAACAATGGTTGCAGGATCAAGTTCTAAGCTAATAACTTATCACGTTACATATAAATAATCTCAAATGTCTAATTTATAATAGTAATAATACTTTGAGATCCTGGGGTGAACAGCGCCACACATGCTGCAAAATGTTTTACAATATCTAGGGGAAGATTTTCAAAAGCAGAAAGGGGC